GACGTGACATGTTCGTACGAACCCTTTGTACGAACAAAAGTAAGAGAAATTTAGGATAAAAATACGAACATGTTCTTGCATGAGGCCCATTGTGTGGCTGCATAGAGTTGTTTATTTTATTTTATTTTATTTTATTTTATTTTATTTATTTAACCTTTATTTCAACAGGAAAAACATTAAGAACAGTTTCTTATTTACAGTGTTGGCCTGAGAGTACAAAAACACTTAAAACACTTAAAAATGTGAAGATGGGGAAACAACATAAACAGTAGATAAAACATATAAAATGAGTTAAAATATGTTGGGTTTTCTGAGTAAGGGGCCACTGAGGGGCCAAGTATTTGTTACACACAAGTCCCTGGTTATCCAGTGAAACATGTTCAGACACCTGCACAGGAAGTTGGTTTTACCAACTTACTATCATTTTTATTTCATTAGTCAGAAACACACCACGTTTTTGTTCATATTTTTAAAAATATCACATTTTATATCTTTAAAATACAAAATTAAAGAGTTGAAAATATAAGTGGCTCACATGACCACACCCAAACTTGATCTTCTCATCAGTTACTGATGTCAAAATGTTTCTTTTCTCCGTTCACATACATTTTAAATGTCAAAAAAAAAAAAAAGAACAGGACGGGAACAGATCTGGAAACTAAAAACAGACATATGTTTGGTAAAATCATGTAAAGCAGAAGTGAACTAACAAACATTAACCTGGAAACAAAAAAACAGAACATCATTTAAAACAAGTGTTTATGTGAAACATGCAGGACAAATAAAAGGTTTGATGTCAAATCAGAAAACAAACAGGAAACTGGGTGTGTCACAGAAATATTGTGCTTGTTTGTGTTTTGGCCACAACATTTGCAAGTCACAGCACGAGTGCACATTTGCAATGTATTTGTGTTTGCAAATGTGTTTATTCACAAAATGTGATTCATGCAAATCCCAGCCCACATCTGTAGCTACAGCCCTGCTGTCTGCTTCACGTCTCCCTCACAGTGTGATGGTTAAAAGTTAGCCGCACTTCAGGAGCTGCTAAAGAAACACTAAACTCTTTTATGTTACACCTTCTTGTTGTGACTCAGTGTATTAAGTGTGTTTTTTATCTCACAGAAACAATGAGTGTCTGCAAACCAACACTGAAATGGCTGGATTTAGACGCACTGAACATGATTGGGCCTTACTCGTCCAGTTTACCACCCAACGATCTGGACTCTGCCTCCAGTGAAACTGTGAGTCGGCTGGAAAGAATCACAAGTGTTTAAAAATGTGAGCTTTTTTAACAACATTCAAACTTTATGTTTCTGTTTTCCTTTTCCAGCTTTGTGGCTTTTTCAGCTCCGGTCAGCTCAAATCCATCATGAGCAATGTTAGGATTAACCCCGGCTTGGCCAAGACCTTCCTCCAAAAGATTCAGCCGTGCCTCAGTGCAACCAACGTAGATAAGTGTGTATTCTTCCATCAGTGCATTAAAACAACACAGATAAGTGTGTATTCTTCCATCAGTGCATTAAAACAACACAGATAAGTGTGTATTCTTCCATCAGTGCATTAAAACAACACAGATAAGTGTGTGTACACTGCAAAAACTGTCCATCTTACCAAGTTTTATAATCTTATATCAGCCAAAAAGTCTTTTTGATCTTGTTTTCAGACTGATTTACTAAACAAGAACTGATTGTGTAAGAATAATCATCTTGTTTTCAGAATGTGTAAGATTATTTGTCTTGTTAGTCTGAAAATTTGACTCTAATTAAGTCAAACATTTCTGCCAGTGGAGTAAGAACATTTTACTTGGTAAGATTCTTGAAATACTTGATTGGACTCAATATTTTTCTTATTTCAAGAATCTTACCAAGTAAAATGTTCTTACTCCACTGGCAGAAATGTTTGACTTAATTAGAGTCAAATTTTCAGACTAACAAGACAAATAATCTTACACATTCTGAAAACAAGATGATTATTCTTACACAATCAGTTCTTGTTTAGTAAATCAGTCTGAAAACAAGATCAAAAAGACTTTTTGGCTGATATAAGATTTAAAACTTGGTTAGATGGACAGTTTTTGCAGTGTAATTCTTCCATCGGTGCATTAAAGCAGAACATTTAGGAAGGGTCTAATCGTGCACAGCTCATTTTAAAATACAAAAAAATACATACGTAGTTCAAACTTCATAAATTATTATTAAACTTGGACAAAAGTAATTATATGATATTCAGTAATAGACAGAAAACTATTGATTTTCTATTTAAAGTTGATGATGTTGAGATTAGAGTCAGTGAGGTGAAGTATTTGGGTGTCATTATTGATGAAAAGCTGAGATGGAAACCTCAAATAAATTACTTAAGTACAAAAATAGCTAAATCTGTTGTAGTCCTATATAAAGTAAAGGAGTTATTTAATGATAAAGCTCTGTTTATATTGTATAATACAATAATTGTTCCACTGTGTTGACGTCTGGGGTAAAGCATGTAAAACAATCACAAATCCTATTTTTATTTTACAGAAAAGAGCCGTAAGAATTATGACCAGAAAACATTTCTGTCACCGTATTAAAACTTTATGAGTTGGTTGATTATAATATCTTGCAGATTATGTATAAGGCTCATAAAAAATTACCTTTAAACATCCAGTTATATTTTGTTAACAGAGAAATTTTATATAATCTTAAAGGACTTGAGATGTTTATTAAACCTAAACTTCAAACAAACTTGTAGGACCGATGTACTTCAGTTCAGGGAATAAGATTGTGGAATAATCTGGAAAGTGATTATAAAAATGTTGGTTCAATGTGTTTAAGAGAAAGATTAAAATAAGTTTGTTAAAGAAATCTGAAATTGTATAATATATATCAAAAGTTGTTGTTGAAGCTATTATTTTGTTTTGTTTCTTGATTATTATTGCTTGAAATTAATTATGGAAAAGGGCAGATATAAGATTTTTTCTTATTTCTGCCTCCTTTCATTTCAGTTGAATTTAATTCATTTCAGTTCAGTTCATTTATACACCACCAAGTCCCAACACACGTTGTCTCAGGACACTGTAGATAAAAAGAACAATGTAAAGAAGAAAGCAGCAGATTGTGTTGAATCCCTTCATCACAGTCTCCCATCCTGAGCAAACGGTGGAGAGGAAAAACTCCCTGCTAATCAGGAAGAAACC